CAAACCCGGACTTGACACCGATTGTCCATCCAGCGCTCCCAGCGCCTTACAGCTCCTGGTGTGGGGCCCCAGTTAACAAACAGCCGCTGGATGTCTTGAGATCAAAAAAGCAAGGTTCATGGGTTCATCGAACATCATCAAATCATGAATGACCTCTAACCTCATGTCTAGTCCCACTCTCTCTCTCTCTATATATAGATAATCTGATTTGGGTGGGAGGTGTCTGCTAGCGCGGTCGAAGCTAGTAGGGGTGTGAACAAAGTTGGAACACACCAGTTTTGCCCAAAAGAACCCTTAGATCCCCTGAACCCCTCCTCCACATCCTTCCAAAAGCTCCACAGCCCTGAGCGGCTCAGCCGATCCTCCAAATCTGGTAAATCTGAGGAATTCGGTCGCGGAGTTTCTCTCACACCCATTGCGTATCCGTATGGATCTCGGATGACGCATTCCAAGGCCATGCAGGGCCATCACAAACACACATGGGATTGGCAGATTTACCTACATTGGGTCATTGGGCTCGTCTGACGGGTCAATGGGGCGGCAAATCTTCCAGGCCCATTAGTCGTGTCTGGGTATTGAGAGGGAAGGCCCGGCGAACGTCAACGCGCGACCGTTTCCCCAGTGTGTTTGGTCTTCGTGGTCTTCGGAGTCCAAAGATCCCGCTGATGACTCTTGTCGTCAGCCGACCTCTATAAAATCCACGGTGCTTGGCACAGGTGCTGTTTGGTGCTGCCTTTGGGCAAATCCCAGATGTTTGCTGGGAGGACTAGCTATCAAGCTCATCGAAGGGCTCCTCATGGAACAGCAATAGAACAAACATTGAACAATGCGATGCCAACATGCTTTGGACGAAAAACCATCAAGAAACATCCTGACAGTACAGCTCTAAGATGCTCTGAGGATTTCTGAAGTGACTCTTATTCAACGTAATTGAAAGCACACTCAAACAGGGCAACCACTCCTCGTTTACAGCTCTGGGAAAATGGTCGGGTAGGAGAAGGTGGCAAAGGGCTCGTAGACACCCTGGTCTGGAGGGAAGAAGTTCTTGTCCCAGTTCAGCTGGGTGAACTTCTGTCCATAGTCGCCAAAGAGGACATCCTGCAGCTCCCCGGGCCCATCATCCATCCCACCGCAGCGCAGCGTAGCGCAGCCAAACGGGGTTTCGTCCGTCAGCAGGTGGTCAAAATGGATCAATCTAAAACGATGGAATTCTAAGAGCCACAGCTGTTGACCCGGTGAGACGGCGCCGTCTCGCTCCGATCAATTGGGCGGGCACAGATTTGAAGTATTGAATGGCACTTTACCTTCTGATGGTGACATAGACATTGGAATCGATATGATGTTTGAAACGCACCTGAACTATTTCCACGACCCGCCACGTCCCATCATGTCCCATCGGGCCTGAGTAATGAGCCCAACAATGCCCATCATCGCCAAACGGCTGTTGTTCAGCTCCTGAAGGAGCAGGGATGGAGCATTATCAGCAGCGGACAACATCAGTGGCAGAGATGTTACCTTGGGAAACATCGGATCCAATCTATGAAGAACTGAAGGGATTCGAGGAAATGGGGAAGTCATTCAAGGAACTGGAAGACCTTCACCAACTTCGGCCTTGTTTAGGACAGGATGCACAAATGTACCCATCTGACATTTGTCAGGAAGTACTACAACTGCGTACTTGGTCCATGTCTTCGCTTGCTACATTCTTGGCTGCTTCCAGGCTGATTTGTCGGGGGGGCTTGCTCGGCTCCTGAAGTTCAGCCTTGCGGAACTGATTCCAAATGCTCTTCTCATCCTCAACGAGGATGTCTGACCAGCCCAGGATGTCCCAAGGCTTCTCGGCCGGAGGCTTGCAAACGTAGGTGGTCAGCCATTCCAGGCACATGATGGTGAAGACCACCTGGCAGAAAACAACTGTCAACTTCTAAAGACAAGAAGAAACTTCTAAGGGAGTTCCCTGGATCATCCAGTTCACAGCCTTGTCGTGTCATCAGGTGACTGGTTTTTTAACAATCCAAATGGATCCATAGGCCACAAACCATGGATGCAAATGCTGAAGAATACATCAGAAAGAGATGAACACGTAGCGGTAGCAGGTGACACTTGGTGGCACCCGGGATTGCTGAATGCCATGAGCAATGCTGTTTGAGTGAGTCATATGCATCAAATTATGCACCACCACACCTCCTCAGTGCCCTCGAAGCCGGCCCCGAGCTTTAGTTTGAAAAGGCATCCCGACATCAAGAATGCTTCGTCGTGTTTCACCCTGCTTCCCTGAAAACGCACTCCACGTCCAAATGGCCGCGGGGAGGGGAAACACTGCCGGCTGCCGGCCTGCCAAATGCCACCCATGGGCATCTGGGTCAAGCTGACCAAGGGATTGTCATCCAAGTGCACTCCCACCGCCTTAGATGCTTCGTGCAATGACCCGAATGTCAGCAGTGACCCGGGTGTCCACATTTATGGGGGACATGGCCTCGTTCTCGCAAACTGAAGCAAAGACTGTTGCGGAGGTCTGACAAAACCGCAGTGGTCATGTGTCTTCAACAAACAGCCACCCATCAACAAAAAACTATTCGCAGTTCACAATAAATGCGAACTTAGGCTCTCCAGCGAGTTGTAAATTCTTTTGAACGCCATGATGGAGCTTCTTTCTAAAAGTTCCTTCCCTGCATCCCCCTGCGCCCAGAGCATTCCTCTTCTTGAGTCACCTGTCTTCTTACTACCGGACCCCTCCTCCCCACACCGACCCAACCTCCCCCTTCCTCCCCCTTCTCTCTTTCGACCTCCGTGCTCTTTCGTTTCGTCTTCGTGTACCAAGCGGCATAGTCTCCGATGATGTGGAAGCCGCCGGCCACATGGAACCAACCGATGCACGCCAACATCGCCACGCGGCCATGCTTCAACTCCTGGGCGCGCAGCTCCAGGATCTCCTCGCCGACGTCGTCGGTGACACGACAGGCGAAGGTGACCGACGCCGGGCTGACTGGGCCAGGTCAGAGAGGCTGTCACTCGGACGACCGGTGGACACCGTCGATTGAAGTAGGTCACCTACAACAAAGTAGATCTCTTTGTGGTCGTGTCAGGCGGAGCAAAACGAGAAGTGTTTCACAATGAAAATGGACGCCGAACGTCACTGAGGATGCACTGGGAGACAAGCACACCCCTGGCGCTATCCTGGACCAACATGGGCGCTTTTTTGGGTCCGGTTCCCAACTCATCAAGATTGGATTGGTCCCAGTTCCAAGGCATACCCAAGCAAGCAAAGGTTGGATGGGAAAACCGACAATGGTAGGGGGTAGATTGGGTCGTAGAAAGGTGTGTGCATTTCAGGAACACATCCGATATTGAAATCAAATATGTTACGGGTCATCATCACAGAAAAGCAAGAACTATACGAGTCTTATTATATATATTACATACATACATACATATATACATACATACACACTTTCTACTACACTTTCTTGGTATTCTGCCTCAGGTGCGCAGCGGACCCTAGTTACACGCTACAGGATCATAGAGGATCTCCAAATGAGAACCGGAAACGTCTGGTAGACAAGAGAGTAGTAAAAAAACAGCGTATCACGTAATCATATAGCAAAAGCTGGATCCATCAGTGCTGTAGTGATCCCATTCAGACAGAAAATACATATCCTGTTCTAGCATGTTTGGAATACCAGGCACGGGTGCCCGATGGAAACCAGTATTGTGACTACCTACACCGTGACCCCAGTTCCGGTCCAACGAAATGCTTTCTGTGCATTCGGACTCATTAGGGTTCCTACCTCGTAAGATAGTGGTTTGGGTGGGTTTGGGGAATCTCAATACCTTTCGAGGATGTGGTCGGAACCACAAATCGCATCTAATGTTGATCTCCTCCTTGCTCTTCTTGCTGGTGATGCCAGCCGGGTCCCAGTACATGTCTGGCAAGGGCCCTCCAGTCCCCGCGATGCACTCCTCGCAAACCAGGAATCAACACAATCCTCAATAATTAGTAGTCAATGCTGCTGTAGAACAAACTTTAGTTTTTGACAATAAAGGACATTTATATAGCTTGAGTGTGGTTTCTGTAGCCAACCCGAGTGTTTGGTCAACGTTCTTTCATGCTCTCTCTCTCTCTCTCTCTCATGTCTCTACCAACTTTCAGGCCGTTTGGCGAGTGTTTGGATTTGGCAGCCCTCCTGAGCTGGGGTCAATGCGCGGAGCGGCGAATCAGTGTAGTTGGCCCAGTCGCCCCAGGCGGAGCCGGTCAGGCCGTCCTACACAGGAGATTGTTGCGTCAAAGACGAGAAGGCAGGAGGGAGTTCCAAAGAATTGTTATAGTAAAATATTAGATATTACAATATATATTGTATTACATTATTATATTTTATATATATCATATTATACACACATAGTAGTCCAGTTGTGATTGTGATATGGCTGCACGGGACATGCCTTTTGACCCAAAACGTTTGCCAGCTAGGAGCTTTGAAGTAAGATGGATGTCTGTGGGACATGGCACCCGGATACCTTGATTGACTTACCTGGGAGGTTGTTCGCTGCGTGGTGTCCCATATAGAGTGATATATGATGATATATGAAACAACAAATATGAAACCCTTGCAAGTTCCTGTAGGTATTTACACTCGAATCATGGGGAGCCACCAACGGATCAGGACAATTCACACTTTCCTTTTCAATATCCGGATCCGCAGCGGATTAGCCTTTTCTCAAACCCACAGCCCCCCCAGTGCAATTGAAGCAATCCATCACACTTGTAGCTGTGAGTCGAACGTCGACCCGAGAGTCGGACGTCGACCCTGTCCCATGTCCGGCACCGTCCGCGTTTCGCAGGGACCGTGGGTACTGACCGGTGCGAAACGTGCGAAGACCGTCGACTCGGTGCGAAGACCGTCGATGCCTGGAAGAACATTCCGATGATGGCCTGGGGACGACACCGCCCGATCCAAACGGATGCCAAAAAGAAGGATGGCTCCCGGGAAGAAGCCCGGAGCCTGAAACCAAACCTGAAAATGAGATACTCACCCTGCATTTGGACCATGCAAACCCACCCAACATGTACCACAATGTCAGGTATAGTTTGAGATTCAGGGACACAAAGGTAAAGGTCTAGCAAGCTGCAAAGTTGCCTGAGACACATGGTTGAAGCGTCAGAAACAGTTCAATCTCCACCACACTCTAGATTTTGGAAGCAGCACTCTACGTCCAGCCACCACCCACTCAGGCACCAACAAATCTCTCCTCATGTACTGGAAAGACGAAGCCGATCGATTTACTCCAAAAGTACTTTGAGATAGACCAAGTTCCATCGGAAACTCTAGCCCAGCTCAGTCACTGCAAGCTTCCCAAGCAGCTTCCGCGCTGGTAGCGGCTCACGTTCACCAAACGGTAGGCCAAGCTACCTATACAGGACCTAGAAACCATTTAAACCAAAAGCACCAAACATTTACCCAAAGATGTTCAGGGTTCGTGAGATGTGCTACTAAATCTTTTATCCCAAACACTCCATGGGACTGGCATATTTTACCGATCAGTTGGGGTGGTTTGAGGTGTGCCAATGTAGAACTGTTCCAGGCCCATGGAGTGTCTGGGTATTCTACCGATCTACCAAAGGGATGTGACTCGCCTCGATGCATCTCCTGTTCCAGGTCAACGCCCATGCACCCGTGCACCTGTCATGTTGATGAACGAGGAGGAATCGTGTGGAATCCATGAGACACTCCCCGGGATTCTATTGGCCAGAATAGTATTGAACCAATTGGTTCCATTTTGTTCCATTCTCCATTCCGCCACCTTGATTGGGCAACACCTCACCCAAAACCACACCCCCCGCCTCAGTCCCTCAAACACCGCCAAACCACCCCAAACACCGAGCCGCCATCATGGCCAATCGCCCGTTGGCGATCTCCGCGGCGAGCTTCTTCTCCTTGGTGCCCTCGGGCGCCTCCCGGCCAAGCACGGTGGGGTACCACTCCGGAGCACATGGGACAGGGAAGACGTGACCGAGGGACGTCTGCAAGTCTGAGCGAGGGACTCAACCTCGCGTCCGCGTGACACGGGGAGGGACTCGGGGGAGGGCGGTGACCGTTTTGAGGAACATGACCATGGAAATGGGTCGCAAAAAGCCACAAGAAGATTCAAGTCTACCTATACAGTATATCATCCTATTTTTAATATCCTCCGGAGTATCCACAACTGCAACAACTGCAACAGTTGCGAGGAAGATCATCTTCACCCCACATCCTGGACCGCTCAAACATCATTGACGGGTACCCGTCACCGGTCACACCAGTCCCGTCCTCCAGCCCCGCCTTGACGTAGCTGTTGGGCACTCCCAGGAAGCCCGCGTTCGCGAAGTCGCCCGGCGCACGCTTGGGGTCGTCCACCTGTTGGGCACGTGGGGTCGTAGAGGCGTTTTTTGGGGAAGGGGAGTGGACCGGGAAAATGTCAAAAATTACCAATCACCCTGAGCACTACCCTGAGCAAAACCAGGTATTCCATGCATGGACTGTTTCAGTTCTGGCGATGAACTCAGAAGAGGCCTGCTTCACAATTCTTCCGTATGATATGGCATGATCCGGCTGATGTTCAAACAGAGCGTCCAATGGAGAACTTGGAGATCCCAGAATGAACAACCCTTGCAAAAGGAGGAGGTAACAAAATGATCCTTTCTCGTGCAAGTCGCATCTGCCATGCCCGGGCAACTCTCTACGTATGGGCCATGTTTTGGAGGAACGAAGCAGCCCAAACTGCCGAGCTCGATGTGCGAACAAGACCAACTCGGCTCCACCAAAAAGGCTCACAAGCGCGGCACAGCAGGTTCATATGGAGAACTGGAGGTTCACAAGGACCTCTGTACAACCCAAGCTGCTGCTTCCGGTGGCCGGTCAATCTGGACCCCCTTTCCCTACTCCGTCGTCTCCATCCTTTATTTCACATGGACCGTAACCGAATGTGCTTAAAAAACAGTCTGAGAACTTCCAATCGATGAGCGTTAACGATGGTCGGCAACCACACGACTGACACTCCATGGACTGGCATATTTACCTGGGTGGCAAAAAGGGGCTAAATACCAGGACCGCCTAAGGAGTATTGATAGAGATTAATAGCTCATTAGAGGTGAAGGGGATTGAAGGGGTGTCTACTAGCAGCCCTTCTCGGTCCTGGTGCACATATAATTACATGGTGTGTCTGCGCACTGGGTCTCCTCGCACTTTTCGACCCAACATCCACATGGCGTGCCTAGAGAAATCTAGACTTGCTCCAAGCAACATATTGGAAGAGCTCGACCGAGCCGGCAAAGAAGACCATTTGGGCCCAGCCGCTCAAGGGCACCTGATACCGGCTGGTCACCGTTGCTGGGATTGAGCAAAAGTTCTGCATGTTCCACACGACTATATTCTTTGGTTCCAAAACAACCATCCAACTGGCGACACACACACACACAAACATCATACAACCATCGTATAATTAGGGGATGACAGATTCTTTCATGCTTCATGATTCTTCTCCACACATCTTATCTTGCTGACGAAAAACTCCTCATGTGCTCAAGAGTGGATCCAAACCAACCAAATGTCACCAATCTTCAGAACAACCATGAACAACCTGGCTAAAAATCGCTGGATGTGGATCTCATTCTCCGTTTTGTTGTTCCCATGCTTTACTGCGCTTGTCGGTAAACATGACTACCGGATATATACATATATATATATATGTGTTCTCCTTCTCCAAAGCCGATTTGAAGGGAAGAAAAAACAACACAAAATCTAGGAGAATGATGGAGAATGTGAAATGCTATGAAATCTATCACATTGTATGTATGACGTCGCTTCGGACCTCGGTTCCGCCCCACCGGTCCGGACCTTGCTGAAGGCGGCGAAGCCAGTGGGCACATCGCTAAACCTGAAGCCGTCGACGTCAGGAGAAGGCCGTCACAGGTGTTTGTTCTTTCTTTTTCTGGAACCCCTCGTATTTGTACAGTAATGACTTGCAAGTACAATAGGTGTTTGTATAGAACTGAGCTTGTTCTGTTCTTAGGGGCTTTGTTCACTTGTGAGTCAATCGGTGGACAAAGACAACATGAAGCAGCTTCCGGTTTCGGTCGTGCAAGCTCCCCTAGCACTGGAGATTGGAGGGTCTTCTTCCCTCCCCAAATCCACCGTATTGACCGTGCCTGTCATTGGGGCTTTCCTGACCAAATGGATGACTTTGGACTTGGGCAGTCCATTTTCCATCGTTCCTGTAGACAAATGAACGCCTCGGGCTCAAATTTTTGGGCACCAAGTCAGCACTCCAACCAAGTCGACACTCGGTCTATATACCCATGTCATGTCTACTATGTTGCCTATCCTAGTCTTGAGTGTTTGCTGCCAAAATCGCCTTGTTTTCTTGTATTCTCGTGCGGCACAGCTCCGACAAAAAAATAATATTTTGCATATGCGCATATTTTCTGCACATCTTCCCCGCTTCAGAACTCTTGGCCAACCATTCCCATCCATTTATGTAGGATCCGCCAGCTGTTGGACCTATACACGTCTTGCCGTATTTCTGACCACCATATTAACCACACGAGACTTGAGGAGTCTTGAGGCGGGTTAGAGACAAACCCGCAAGTGACCCAAAGTTCGGCCCAAAAAGAACACCATCACCAGCTTGCTAAGCAAATCAGTGATCAAGTCTAGCTTGCTTCGTACCCCTCTCGTCTATAGCCGTCTCACGCCGCCGATCCCGGAGTGGCCACTCCGGGATGCCGCCGAGTCCGAATGAAGCGGCTAAATCGGGACAAAACCGTCAAGCAGCTTGAGTCCCAAGGAAGGGGACAAATCGCCTGGCCAGCGGTAGTACTCGGGCACGATGTATCCCAAGCATGCCTCAGTCCGAACGTGGGATGGACGTGGAGTGGCGTCCCTGTGATCGGATGAAGAGGAATCCAAGCGCCGCAAACCCGGGTCGCAGCGTCCCTGCCTGTACCGCGGTTCGGCTCTGTGAGACTAATCGAGACTTTTTGTACATATATTATCGTGATGATACTCGTGATTATATATATATTTAGCATATTATACAAGTAGCATAAAGGCATAAACTCTCTTGGTGTCACAGCTATTTCTGCTTCTCTGTCTAAACTCATTGGAATATTGGAGCATAATAAATAGTTCTTCAGGGATTGTCAAGAGGTGTTCGAACAAACACAGTAACCACACGCACTCACATCCATACTCGCATGCTTTCCTTTTGCCTATTTAAGGCCTTTCCTCCATCTAGCTGGCGAGTCGCACTAGTCAAACCACCAATCCATCTGGAACACCTGCTTGGAGGAGTGAATTTCTGACTGGTCGATTAAAGTTCTCTTCGATGTTTGAAACAAGGAAAAACACACAATGTGTTTGTGTTCTTTATTTGTTCCTCCGCTCATAATGCAGACAGCTTTATTACTATTACTTTTTGTTGACCTGTTTGAAATACCTGTCCTTTTAAACCCTCCGCCTCTTCCGCATCGCTCCTCGCTCTGCTCTACCCCGCGAGTCAAGGCACGAACATGGCCACACGGCCGTGCTTGAGCTCCACGTAGCGACGTCGGCGGAAGGAGGCCGCGTCGTCGGTCTTGGTGAAACCCAAGGGGTCCCAAAAGCCCACGGGCGGCTGGACACCCAGCTCCTGAGTCGAGGCGGAGTCGAGGCGGAGGCGTGGTTCGTGGAGGAAGAGGTGGTTCTTGAAGGGCGGAGGCCGTCCATGTTGAAGGGCGGTGTGCTATGTTTAAGAGGAGGGTGAGGGAGGCGGAGGCAGGTGGTTGGAGATATTCTGCTGAAGAGGTGTGGAATTCAATCAAAAGAAACTGTAGCCGTCTCAGGCTTATAATATAGCATAATATAGCATTGTCTAGCATTATCTAGTAATTCACAATTCTTATGATGCAATTCCAGTATTTGTACCTTGTCAAACCCGACTTATATCATGACTTGGCCTGAGGTTGATTGATCCTGCGACCCATTGCAATTGCGGGCAAACAATTGAGGGGACCGAAGGATTCGGCTGCAGTTGTTTTACGTTAGTTAGTTTTTTACACTGAGGCGACTGTGGTGTGCTTTTGCTCTTGGGAACCTGCGCCTTCAGAGTTATTCAAGAAGTGGATTGAACAGGTATGCTGATACGCTTCGGTGGTGAGCTGAGCTGGATCTACAAGGTGATATTCCGGTTTGTGGGAAGGGATGATCAAACTATCGAATCGTCTAAACTTAAACACAGCAAGCACACACATTTTTTCTTCCATGTCAATTTCCAAGAATGCGCACAGGTCAATGGATGAGATGAGAATAAAACATCACACGTCCCTAAATCATGCTTCGGGATGTCCCAAACATGGTGAACAACCGATTGACTGACATTGGGTGTGGAGATGGGGGGATCACATGCTTCCCATCTGCTCACCTCCCCACAAACCATCACTACCGCGGACTGAGAGGAGCTTCACTTCTCCAGTCATTACGGATGTCATCTGGCCTTGCGCCGGCCCTGTTTCCGTCCCCAAAAACAACACTCAACAAAAAACAAAAAACAGTCACACTCCACTCGCTCCGTTCGATGACAAGTCTCGCTCTCAAAGGCGCTGGATCCGGTATAGAGTCCATAGGGGCTGCCGAACAAGCCATCCTGCACACTCCGTGCAGTGGTCGTGGGAAGCACACCGCCGACATGGGATGTGGGATTCTGCGGTTTTTCCTGGCTGGGGGAGGAGTTCCATGAGTTAGGACAAAACCAACACCAACACTCACTTGGGCCAAAAGTGCAGCAAAATCGTGGAACTGCTGTGGGTAAACACCCAAGCACCCAAATCAAGCCAAACCCACCCCCGCCACCCCTGCTCAATGGTCAGGTACACTCCTGCACCCAAAGGCCTACAATGGCCATCATGGCCAGGCGTCCGTTGGCCAACTCCTGAGATGTTCAAAGACCAAAAAGACACACCCTGCTGTAGACCAGGCCGAGAGCTTCAGCCATCTTCCCAAGCAAAAGAATGCGAGTTGAGAAAACACCCGAGCTGTGCACGGTCATCCAGGTGACAATCATCCAAAAGTGTTCAAGCTTTGAGAAAAGCATAGAAAAGCTATAAAATGTTGCATATGTCTTGTATTTGCCTTAAGGAATGCTGGAATCTTGAATGGTTACCTAGTAGGCACCAAGCTTCCACATGTGCAACTCTTGACCGACTGGTGAAACACTGAGCACAAGCTGCGAGCATCTATTACTCCCAACAGTAGCTCCCAAAGCCAGCCGGTACTGTGGACTCTTGACTATAGTATGATAAAACCTCCCGTGTGAACTCATGTGAATATGTTTTCATGAACCTAGCACTAATGGTGGGGACCAGGGTCCCCCAGCTGTTCAATTTCTCAATGTTAAATGGAGGTCCCTCAGTTATTGAAAACCATAACTAAATAAGAACTCAATGAGTTCAAACATGAATCCACTGAGGTCCAGCCAACTCAATGAGCTGCCATTTAATTAACTAAAATAGCATCCCAAACACATACAGTGGAGGGGTATTCATCAAGAGTCTACATGGTCGTGTGTTCCCTCGACGTGCTTCTTTTTCTGGCGCAAAAGCTGACATGGCAGACGGAAGACCCATGGAAAAACCATGACAGCCCACTACCCCATACTTGCATACAGCTTTCCCATGGTTTACCACCTGCAAAACCGGTATACGGTATACACTATAATTAGCCATGCAATGCCATGTATCATTGTATCACCGACAGTGTTCGCAGGGTTTCTTCGCATGTCTTCCAGTCCTTTCACCATCCATCCCTCACAAAAAGCCCTTTCACGTTTCTTCGCATGCGCCAAGGAGCAGAGTTCAAGGCACGCTTTCGGGCCTCCGCATCCTGCATGGGTTCCGCGGTGATGCCCAGGACCATGTTGCCATAGCCCAGGCGACCTGAGATGGCCACGACCGATCAGGCAAGGAGAGGGGCGAACGCCTGATTGCTGCATTCTTTAGGATCTTTAGGTTACATCAAATGAAACATCCAAAAAAATGAACACCGCAGTGTGTTTGCCAAGGTGGTGAACATCTTATTCATAGTTCTGGCAAAGGTGTACGTGCAATCTACATTGTAACATATTGTAACGCCGGGTGGGCAGTTTCTCATTCTCTTGCGGGTGGGGCCAGTCTAGGCTGTCTGTTGAAAGCTCCAGTGAATACATCAGTTTCACCCCTTTTGAATTGTACGTCTTGTTCTTGGTCCATGGTGGACTTGTGGACACTCAAATGCTTGATCCCGGCGCCTCCCAAAAGCCAACCGTATCAACCCCCCCAGACCCATAGCAGCAACCTGCCCAGTCCACCAAGTCCATTGGTCAGCGGAAATGTCAAGCCTCCAAAAGCCTTCAGAAATCAGAAGAACACTTGTTAGAGTCTCCCCGCTTCTTCCTCTTCCCCACTGCTTCTCCACTCCTCAACCAGGACACCCTTGCCATAGTTGCCCGGCTCCGCCGCATCCACCGGGGTGTTCACGCAGAACTCGTAGCAGCCGCACAGAGCCACCCACTGCAGCCAACCCTCAGCAGGCACCTGATGTGAAGAGGACATGTTTGTGAAGAGGACGTTTAAGAGCCCAGGGGATCCAGTTACCACTTTTTTCTAGTAACCAGTGGTTCCAAAGATTATATAAAGCCACACACCTTTGGTCCTGGTTCCTATTTTTTGTGGTAACTCGGATTCTCTGGATACAGTAACGGAACTGCATGAGCATGAGGGAGATCCTCTTGGTGCTCAGAAGGGGACATTTAATTTGATCAGGTTGGATGTGGTGCGACAGTGGAAACTGGCAGCAATGTTAAATCAGTCACCAGTCTGCACCTTTTTCGTTGCTCACTGGAGGAACACAGTGGTTCTATCAGGATCTGAAGGCCGATGTAAAGAAAAACAAGTCAATCGAGTCATCAACACCAACAAAACGCAGGCCCACAGGGAGCGAGTGCCCTCCGCTTCTGAATCAAACAAAGGACCACACTTCAGCTCAATATGGCCATCGTGTGTACCCGGGAAAGATTCCAGGAAAAAAGGGCAGAACCAGATCGGCAGTGCAAAAAGCTGCCTGAGAGTCGGACATTGACTTGCTTTACCCAGTTTCGCAACACCCAAATACCAAAAGGATAACTCCAGGAACTTGACAACTTTTCTCCCTCAAGGATTCACGTGGTGTTTCGGAGTTTCTCAAACTAAAGGATCTAAAGGTAATTCTGTGGATGATGTGGGATGATGTCGAACCGTCTGCAGTCGTTGTGTTGTAGGCTTGTAGGAGAGCAAACCACTATATACTCGGATATACTCGGCATTCAAAGATATTCAAAGCACCACCGTACCTGGCCGACACCACACCATGCATGAGTGTTCGTCAAGTCTGACTGTCGCATCCCTGCAAACGACTTGAGAGAGGAGGGGGTGAAACGAAAGGTAGCAGGCAATCACAAGTAACCCTGGTAGAAGTCCATGACGGCGTGAACCGGCGCAGGGGGGATTTGATCCAGGGGGCCCCCCCCCCCCGACAAACAGAATCAACTCTTACAGGACCAAACTCAATGCACAATCCCAACTCCTGATTGTAATACATTTTTGCTAAAGCAAGGAGAACTCAGGTAGCTCAAGCTACCTTTCGTGATTGAAGCACACTTGGAAAAAAAGGACTCCCTGGACCCCCAGTCGGCGTGGTTGGACACCCCGAAAGACCTCTTTTCGGGGCTATTAATGGACACCCGGAATCCGTGGCTGCTGGTCTGGCGTCTCCTGTTATTGGCCATGGCCACACACATGTTTCCTGGCCACCCATGGGAAATGGCCTTGGTAATGGCAGCAAGGCCGTTGGGCACATCTGCAAACTTCAGGTTCGAGGAGGGCGCCAAATATCCCGGGAACTTGAAGTACTCCGGGACCATGTACCTGCCACGGGCGGGGGCTTTTCAGGACGGGACGGGGGCACGGGTACGGCGGCACCCATGGGTGGGTGGAGCCATGATGAGCCATGTGGATGGACTCTTGAGTAAAAAGCCCCACCAAGCCTGAAGAGGATTTCCAATTCAAAGGGGTAAATTCATCAAGGGTCTACATGAGTGCCACGGTTTGCCTTTTTCCAGCTCTGTCTGGGTGAAACCCCTTGACAGGGAGTACTGTAAGGAGCTGGGGGCCATAGGAGATGCATCTAGAATTGGACTGCTGCTGGATCGGGATCCACAAAGCTTCAATGTGGTTCAATACATGGGAACCTGGACTCACTCCATCAACTGTGAAACCTGCTTTGGGAGGATGTGGTTTCGGGGAAGACGGTGATAGTATGTGATTGATTCATGGCAATTCATCAACAGGCTACTCCACAAGACTGATATGATATGCAACCTGAAACCTTGGACACCAATCGTTTTGTTCAGGATGGGACATTGCAAAAGTGATTCCAGTCTATAGTCCACAAGTCACCACAGTTTGGACACGTTTCACAACACCCACGGAAGTGTCAAACAGCGTCCACGCTGTCTGCGACGGCATTTTGGTGCACATGTTTCACCTCCACAGCGCCCCCCCCCCCCCGCCACACAAAACGGCAAACACTGACAGTTCCCTATTGAGTCCTTTTGAGACCATGCCATGCTCTTGGATTCACTTGAAACACACACCTCACAATCACCAAAAGGAAGAACTTTACTGGAGCCGAGGCTCCCCATGGTGGCAAACATCGCAACGCGGCCGTTCTTCCTGGGCTGCAGTCACTTGCCAGCAACCTATCTAGCCCCAGGGCTGCAACTACCTCCTGAGGTTTGGTGATTGGGGTAGGTTTGGAGGTAACTTCTGAGGAGGTAATTAGCTGGCGCCCCAGTGCAATCAATCCTTGTGCAAACATGTGCAAATGTGACTGTCTTCTGCACAACCAATCTCAATGCGACACACAAGTTGATCCACGTCCTTGCATTTGAATCCATCCCGGGGGAATTTGAACCGTCCCACTCCCCATGTTGTTCTGCGTGAGAATGTTTGAGATGCCATTGCCAAGGGGAAGGGACTTTGGACTTCGGTTGATCCAACTTGATAATAACAGGTTGTATCAGGTTGCCTTTGTATACTCCAAATTGGATGATGGGCATGGGCCGTGGGGCCATCCAAGATCCGACCTTGCCTCTTCCCGCTTCCGGCGGGAAGAAGCACCTTCCTTCCATTCGAAAGAAGCCCAAGCGTCAGCTCACACTCGCGGCGCCGACGGAAGGTTTCCACATCCCCATCCTGCGCTGGAAGTGTCGCCCTACGCCGCGGTGGTGTTCGGGGGGGAAGAGGCCGGTGGGTCGGAGACCGGAGTGAACCAATGGGTCGAGTGGAATGGATCCAATGGGTCGAGTGGAATGGAGAAGTGGAGGTGAAGATCCAGATCGGATCTGAAGAGGTACGGTTTGAAGATCGGGTGATTCTGAGATGGTTGAACAGCCCGTTCAAAAAGAGAGTTTGGGTCTATCCTAATCGCTGTAACAGTGGATGATGGTTAGTAAAGGCCTTGTCCAAAAATAGTGATAATTGTTTACTGACTGTTACAGGCAATAGGACAGACCCTAAAGAGAGTTGTTTGAGGTTGGAGATCGGATGCATCAAGCAACTGCAAAGGGAAAGGGGTCGCAGCTTGGTTTAGTTGGGCTGCTCTTGGTGAGGCATACGGGCATTAATACCCTTGAGAAGTGTATATAACATGTACCCAACCCCCACTTACTTGTTGTTGAAGATGAGCTTCCACCTCTAACAGGTGGCGTCTGACACATTGGGCCAGGGAGTGCGTTGCCTATCAAGATCTACAGGAATCAAATGCCAAGCACTTAGGCCGATATGTTGCTATTATCATATAACTATATAATATATACACACTACATTATAGTTACATGCAGTAGTACCAAACATCCATACTGCTGGTAAGCGCTCAACATCGCTCAACACCATTCTGATCCCACCCCTTCTCAAGATTGCTCACGTCTCGCTATCATCTCGTTACCTCCCTTCTCATGCCCCTCCTTCGCATCTTTCCACTAAAAAGCAACCCCTCCCAAAAAACCACCTCCTTCCACGGCGATTTGTTTTTTTTTTTGGATCCATCGGCCGTGCCGTTTTGGACGCGCCCGCTTCTCCTTGGAGAGGCCCATGGGGTCGAAGTAGCCGAGGGGCGCCTGGACGCCCAACTCGCTCTCGAAGGCCCGGAGCCTAGCTCGCCGCGAGGTCAAAGGGTTAGTGAGATAGGACCTATTACCTGGGCCCAGTGGATGATGATGTTGATAGGTTCTATTATCTGTAACAGTCAGTAACAAATGATGATGACGATGACGATGACGATGACGATGACGATGATGATGATGATCATCATCATCATCATTATGGTTAGTAAAGGCCTTGGTCAAAATGATGATAATTGTTTACTGACTGTTACAGGTAGGACAGACCCTAGGACCATCTATAGGAACGGGGACACCCATCATGGACGACCTATACTTCTTTCATCTTCTTTCTCGCTTTTTGTTGGACCTAGGCCTTTGTGGCGTGACGACCAAGGCCACGAAATAGACATCTTGAAATCTCCATTGAGCACCAAATCTCCATTGGACCTTCAGTTGACCATCCAAAAGAGATGCGATGTCGGAGCGGTCGTCAGGGCCGCGGCCCGGTTTTCAAGGTGTCACCAGGGAAGCCGGTGTTCTTCGGGTTGGATGTGGCCATTCAGCCCAAAGGAGCTGAACGTTTGGCTCCTGTTTTTTTGAAGGTTGGACAACCACCATATTATAAAAAGATGATGTGGACACATAAATTAAACATGAATACCACATGGATATTCATCTTTATACCACAAAAAAAACACATTCATTCTGTTGATCACGCATTCTAGGACAACAAACCTTCCATTCTCTTCCATGAAAAGGGGCACTGTGGATAGACCGGTTTGAATCTCATGGAGCAGATTCGCATGGGTTCCAATTCATAGTCATAAAACAACATGCATGAACGCCGCACTGCAAAACAATCATTTCATCTGCCCATACGAACAACAGGAACGGGCCATGGGCGTCCACTCGCCGACTCGGATCAGCTAAGCCACGGAGACTCGGTGTAGTTGGCCCAATCACCCCAAGCAGATCCCGTAAGACCATCTTGGAAAAACATGCCAATGATGGCCATCATGGCCAAACGTCCATTGGCAATTTCCGCGTTGAGCTTCTTCTTCTTGACGTCAGCGTCCTCGATTGCCTTGCCACCCAAGTATCCGGGAAGTCCCAAGAAGCCGTACTCGTAGTTGGTGGCTCCCTCACCAAACAGGCGAGTGCACAGCTTTCCCGCTGGGTTGGTTGGGACCTGGTGCATCAGCCAAAGGTCGCAAATGCCGCAGAAGATGGTGTACTGGAACCAACCAACGGCTGGAACTTTGGTGGCTGCTGCAAGTCCGTTGGGGATGTCGGTGAACTTGAGCTCACTAGAAGGAGAGACATATCCCGGAAATCTGAAGAACTCCTGCACAATGTATCCTTAGTACAATATAGCGGAAGTCAAACAAAGAACAGTGCATTCTACAAAGGATGATCTGCAGCTTGGTCTCCAGTGCAGGCCAACATAGAGACTCGGCCGTGCTTAATCTCGACAACACGTCGGCGGTAGAATTCCCTTGCATCTCCATCCTTGGTGATCAAGCAAGCCGACCTTCAAGCATGCAATGCTGCAATAAATCCATGTTCTGATAAAGCATGATAAAGCACAAGTAGGGTTATTTGTGGATCTTTGTGGTCCAACTATTTGGGCAAAAGGACACCACTGACCACACACGAACGTCCGACCATGGTGGACGTCGACCCGAAAGAAAGAACACGATGTCGACCGTCCAGGCGTCGCTGGACAATCCGGCGGGATCCCAGAAGCCCAAGGGCGGCTGCACGCCCAGCTCATTCTCAAAAGCCTTCAGCTGGGAGGCCTGTCGCTGAAACAGGGCGACCAGGAAGAAAAGGGACCAGTCAGGGAGCCCTGCAAAGTAACATCTGTGTGGCAGTGTCATCATGTGTCAACAACATTCAACAACTATATACCAGGACCCTCCGACAGGTCACCAATTGAGACCTGTTAGGGTCCAACAACCCTCAACTAGCAGCCTGGCCAGGAGGGTGCTGGTACTTATAAATAATCAAGAAGATTCAGGAAACCCTTGGAATGTTGTTTCAAGGCCGATCTCGATCCGATGGACGTTTCAACCCTTTTGACCATCCGTTTATCCTGATTGACCCATCGAAGGACTATTATACAATAAGGTTGATGGTATCCAGCTTGAACCTGGATCCATTTCTTGGGCCCATGTGGGACCAATCTAGGTACACACTATACCCCTGAACACTACTTGTTATGTCTCAAGGTCTTGGTCAATGCGTATGGCGAGGGCAGAATTATGGCACAAACTCATTGCAAAGCGCTTGGTGTTCAGCTCCATTTGCTGTCTTTGTTTACCAGGGTTAGTAATTTCTTGCATGGTCAAATAGTACAGATCAACACTTTCTGTTTTTAATGTACAGTATGTGCACATGTATAATGCGGCAAAATAGCGATCTCGATCTTCTTCAGACTTCACTCATTGCCTGCCTTGCTGGACTCTTTCTTACGCAGCGCGGCAACAGCTGTCGCACCAAGTGCCACACCTGACAAGTGTGCCGTGGGCACCGTGTCGCATGAACGCGGCGAGGACCAGAGCAGTGATCATCTTGCTTAGCTTAGCTGATTCATCCAAAACTTAAGAGCCCAGTAACCCTAGATTCATGTAGACTCTTGATCAATAAATCCTTCCATTTGAATTGGAAGTCCTCTTCATATGGGGGTTTATGGTCCTCAAGAGTCTACATTAGGAAATTCGGGATTCGTCCAGAAGGTTTCATAGGTCCATCCATGATAGTATGGCTGTGTTTGGTAAACACAGGACCGCTCTCTGCCTACAGTGCTCATCATGCCCGTTGCATTCGCATGGGCTGGAGCGTTTCCGCGCAGGGCAGGCGCGCGGGAGGTGGGCGCTGAGCGCTGACTTGGCAAGGACACAAAGGCAGTTCCTGCCACCACAGCAGCAGCGGCTGCGGTCTTCGACATGTGAGGTGCCATTGCTGCAAGGAGCTGGATCTATGCCGCTTGCTGCTACCTGTGCCAATATGGCTGCAATGCGCCAAACGCTTTTGTGCACGCATTGAAGAGCTTAATGACAAGGCCTGCAGCGTATTATGGACAGTAGTTTGTTACTCTAGTGGCAGTCAACAGCAAACGGATAGTGAGTCTTGATGCTCCTGAACAACTGCACACAGTTTGTTTGCGCAGGATGCGCGTTTCAGGCGGAAAACCTTCCGATTGGAAGCTAGTCTCTTCATCTGCAGGCTGAGGCTATATGCCATCCCTCCTATGAGCAAAACATAAAAATACAAGGATCAGCGCAATGGAGACTCAGTGTAGTTGGCCCAATCACCCCAAGCAGATCCCGTAAGACCATCTTGGAAAAACATGCCAATGATGGCCATCATGGCCAAACGTCCATTGGCAATTTCCGCGTTGAGCTTCTTCTTCTTGACGTCAGCGTCCTCGATTGCCTTGCCACCCAAGTATCCGGGAAGTCCCAAGAAGCCGTACTCGTAGTTGGTGGCTCCCTCACCAAACAGGCGAGTGCACAGCTTTCCCGCTGGGTTGGTTGGGACCTGGTGCATCAGCCAAAGGTCGCAAATGCCGCAGAAGATGGTGTACTGGAACCAACCAACGGCTGGAACTTTGGTGGCTGCTGCAAGTCCGTTGGGGATGTCGGTGAACTTGAGCTCACTAGAAGGAGAGATATATCCCGGAAATCTGAAGAATTCCTGCACAATGTATCCTTAGTA